TATTTATTGAGTAATTGTGTTTACAATTTTTCTATTAAAAATATATTAAACACGTGAACTTTTTAGTTCCTATAATTTTCTTTTTCAGAAATCACTCATTATTTTATCTCAAGATTACTTATTAATTTACCAATTGAGTTACATTTCTTACATATTAAATATTATATAATCAAAATATTTCTTGTTTTATATGTTCAATATGATACTTATATATTATATTAAAAAAACGAATATAGTAAATAAAAATTTATTTAAAATTAGAATAATAAAGATTGTTTTTTCTAATCTACAGGGATAAATGTACAAATAACTATTGTCTATCACCTCAAATTTACACATAAAATTAATAAGAACAAAAAATTAACAAGCGCTTAACAACTCAGTTCGATTACATCGATAAGTATATTTTTAGAAGATTTATATTTAGGTATATTAATTATATTATTTTGGTTTATTAGTTTGTTTTATATTTATTAGTACGTGTCACAACTTGGTTATTATTATTATTTCTTATATTTAATGTTTTCTTAAAACTTTATCTTGTTCTTTCACATGTTCTTAATTGTATTAAAAATAATGACTTTTTTCAAAACAACAATTCTATATCCTATCAAACAGTTTTAAAGATGTGTGGAAGAAAATAATTTTATTTTAGGAGTGTGGAATGAGTTGTTCATTTATTTGCATTTAATTAATTGATATTAATTATCAATTAATATTATAAGATATGATGACATTAGTATATTACCTATTTTCCATTAAAAACATGTCAAAGTAAGGGTTTTTTTTTTTTGTAAAAATATTTACTACCTAAAAAATCCTTACTTTGACATAAATTTAATGGCAAATTAGTAATGCACTAATACACATCATATTTTATATTTTTAATTAAAAAATGAACTACCTAAAAAACTCATATTTTGACATGTTTTTAATGGCAACTCAGTAATATACTAATGTCCACCCTATCTTATAGTTTTAATTAATAACTAATATTAATTAATTTACAAATACATGAACAACTCATTGCACACTCCAAAAACTCCAAAAATCAACTACAATATGTTGACACCATTATTTCTCACGAATTTGTTTTCTTCCACATATCTCTAAACTGTTTGATAGGATACAAAATGGTGGTTTTGAAAAACGTCATTTATTTGTATCCACCACTGCAGGTAGATTTCGAATAGAACTTCCAGTGAAATTTTTATAATTTCAGTGACATTTTTTCCAATTGTTGAAGTATGACCCAATTTTTTTTAACAAAAATTCACGCAATAATAAATAATGATAATTGAAATAATTAAATTTACACAAGAATAAATAATGTAATTTGATCTCTGTTAAAATAGTCAATGAAATTTTATAATGACAGCTATACAAATAAAACATCATTTAGAAATTCCAGTTAATGTCTTACTGTGATGTCTTTGGAAAAAAAAAAGTTAATGTCTTACCGTTGGATTTTTTATTGCAATGTACCATTTTTTTATTCCTTTATATATTATAATTTTTATTAGGAGTTTTTGTTATTAATTAATTGTATTTATACTTTTTATATTAAAAATATATTAAAAAAGTGAACTTGGTAATCCATATAATTTTTTTAGAAATTGCTTAAAATCAAAGTAATTAATTTTCTAAGAAAAAATTTCTAACTTTCATGGATAAAAGTATAAATAATTGTTGTCTATCATCTAAAATTTATATACAGAACTAATAAGAGCAAAATAGTAAACAATTTTAAAAGTTCTATAATTACTTTTACGAATTATAATATTTTTATTAGTTACTTTTTTTTTGTATTTCGTACATTTTGTTTTAGAAAACCATTTTATTGTAATAACACATATAAGTAAATAAATGACTAATGATAATAATATGAATATAATTTTTTGATAAAAAAGTATATAATTTTCAACATGTAGGCATATCATGATTCTCGAGATATTTTCAATTAGTTTGTAGATATTTATATGGTCAAAATAATCCATATGGCTAAAGTGGTACCTCATTAGACGTGAAAACAAATCTATTCAGTTTTAATATTATACAATTTCATAAAACTGTTATGATCTTATGTAGTAAAGTGGAATAGATTAGAAGTTTATGTTGCAGAACAATCATTCAACAATTAATCTCGCATACTATCACACATTTTTATAGGTTATTTTGAAAATAATGTTTCATATCTTGTGGTTGTTATGAGGAAAACAATATCGATTTCTAGTTTTATAAGTGTTTTCAACAATTAATCTCGCATACTATCACACATTTTTTATAGGTTATTTTGAAAATAATGTTTCTGTATCTTGTGGTTGTTATGAGAAAAACAATATCGATTTCTAATTTTATAAGTGTTTATTATGTTTTTTTTGTTAGATCAATTTTAATTTTTTTAAAAAACTTTTATATATTAGAGATATGAAATGTGATTACAATTTTGCCATTAAAATTATATTAAAAATAATGACGTTTTTCAAAACAACAATTCTATATCCTATCAAACAGTTTTAAAGATGTGTGGAAGAAAACAATTTTATTTTAGGAGTGTGGAATGACTTGTTCATGTATTTGCATTTAATTAATTGATATTAGTTATTAATTAATATTATAAGATATGATGACATTAGTATATACCTTTTTGCCATTAAAAACATGTCAAAGTATGAGTTTTTTAGGTAGTTCATTTTTTAATTAAAAATATAAATAAAATATGATGTGTTTTAGTGTATTATTAATTTTCCATTAAATTTATGTCAAAGTAAGGGTTTTTTAGGCATTATGAATTTTTACAAAAACACTCCTCCTTTTAAAGTAGTATAGATTTTAGTGTATTATTAATTTTCCATTAAATTTATGTCAAAGTAAGGGTTTTTTAGGCATTATGAATTTTTACAAAAACACTCCTCCTTTTAAATAGTATAGATAGATATAGATATAGATATAGATAAAATTTCTTAGGCATTCCCGTACCCATAATATCACCTAAAATCGTTGCAAGAATTTATCTCAAACCCGACACTAAACCCGAGCCGGTAATGAACCCACCGGAGCATGAAAAGATATTCGTACTATGAGCATATAGCAAGAGAAATACGTTGCTCTTGTGGTATTGAAAACATAATTCTGTTGTAAAAAGCTTCTTACCCTCTCACAACTCGAATTCCAAATGCTCGCCATTACCACCACAATCCACCAACCTCTACCCCTTCTCCAACACCCCAGCATTTTAAGAATCTCCCTCTCCCAGTCTTTTTCCTTTTCGCTCAGAACTTGTTATCTATAACCTTAATAGTAAACACGCAGTTTGCGCTAATCAGCTCAGCCAGATACACAGTATCTATATCCCCCGATAGCCGCTTGACAGCAGCCATCTCAGCCGCCTGGGAAATGCACATCCCCCTTAGGGCCTGTTTCAGAGAGACGGGTAAGGAGAACCCAATCCCTGAGAGCCGGAACATGCAACATAGGCACACACACCATAGAAGTTGGCAACTCCACATCTTTACTGTTGGAGCGCAATTTGAAAACAAATAAAATAAGTAGAAGGATTAACTCAATGAAGAAGCAACAATAACATTAAGGTAAACAAATCCAAACACAAAAGTCATGCGCCACATAAGGTAAACAAATCCAAACACTCAGCTAACACAACAATGGAGCTGAATACACAAAACAAAGCGAACAAAGTAGGAAAAAACCGTTAAGGGGTCTATGTCGATCAAGTCCATTAGACTGTTTCAGTGCATTTCCAGCGGGCAGTAACTTGGAGTGTGGGGACGCCTTTATAGGAAATTGTCTTGGTTTCCTCCCCCATTTCCATAGCTGGGAAAAAAGTCTTGCCACTGAATATAAGGTTCTCACCATCTCCTTGTTGACGGTCATACAAAACGGCTCCAATAATAAGTGAGGAATTGGAAGGAACAGCCACCAACGACCTTGTAAGCTTAATACTTCCATCATCCCCGACCCAACCATCCTCATTTCTCTGAATCATCACAGTCTTATCCTCATCCCTTCGATTAAGGGATAGCAAACGAATCCTCGAGTACAATATGCAAGGCCTGGCAGCAATCAAACCAGAAACAACCTTAACCCCTTCATTCAACATCTTGACATCAATAGTAGCCCATGCTCCACAATACTTGGAACTGTAGGCCAGCATTAGGATAGGACTGGTGCTGGGGTCTCCAACCACAGACCTCCGGATACAGGGACCACACATGTCCAAGGCACGTATATCGGCCGTAGAAACACAGAAACCGCAGTACTTATATACACCATCACCTGGAAATAGGTCGCTGTTCACGTCACCATGATCTTCAAAATCAACTAGTATATCCTCATCATTGATCTTGAAAGCAAAATCCATATATATTCCAGTTTCTTCACACACTGGGGGTCTAGGTTCGGCACCAGACAGGGGAAGAAGGGCATACGGGTCAAGATCAATAGTATCAGCTTTCTTGTGGCTCGCCCTGTAATAATGTATCGGTACCGGATTGTAATCCAAATACTTCGATGCCGGTTTCGTGATTTCACCGTAGATTCGGCTGTTGAGCAAGGGGGTGCTGTGGATTTTGCCGTTCAATTTGACTATGACTTTGTACAGTTCGAAAATGAGTAATCCCCTGAACTTTGCATTGTGACTGTCTTTGTGGCATCGACTTACATTGAGGCAATTCTTTTGACCATCTTCTTCTTTGGCCATGGGAGAGTTTGCGGTGTCCAAGAAAGCTCTTTCAACAACCTTATGCCTCGTAGTGAAATCGTCATCTGTGTCAGAGTCGGAATCACCTTCATACAAGAGCCCATCATCGTTATCGTCGTCGCCCGAAGGCCGTTCGTCATTATCTTCGCCGTCACCTGGTTCGATATCCCATTCCCTCGGCCTCTTCTTATCTAAATCAGATCGGATTATTACAGTTCCTTCTCGGATCATTGCTAGAAATCGGTTTGTGTTTGTTTAAATTATTTTAGGGTTTTTGGTTGTTATGGACAGAGGCGATTTGGGAATGATGATGGCCAGATTGTTGAGGCTGGCAGCAATTGAGGCTGGGATTGGGTTAATTACGGGAGGCAGATTGTTGGTGAGGATTAGGGCTTAATTTTGTGAATTAGATAAATTTGAGGGTATTATCTGCAATTTTAAAAAATTTAATTATATTGCAATTAAATTAATGGGTCAAACCTATAATTTATTGAATATTATAATCCTCCCTATATATAATTTCAGAATGCGCTGAGCCTACTGTTTCTGGTGCTTTGGAATCCTATTTGGCGAAGAATCATGCTTCGTAATTAGGTTTGGATAAATAATATTGATATATTAATAATTAATAACTAGGCTCGGGTATTCCATAAATATTATTTAGTTAACTTAGGTATTTTAATATCACTTTTACTAATATAACTCTTTAATTCTTTGTAATTTTACATAGTGAGACACTAAGTGACTAATATATCTCTGAATTTTGATTTGTTTCCTTCAATAAGCTATTGAATTATATATGTATTTTAAAATTTGATAACTTTTGTATTTCTAATCGGTTTTACATATATAATATATCAAATTAATCATCTTTTGATGATCTTCGATTTGACATCCATATTGTATATATATGAAATAAATAAATTATATTTATCTTCATAATAATAAAAAATAATAATATTTATTGAAATTCATTAGAAAAATAAAATTATTTTTCAATTGATATATTTATATGTAATGTAGTTATATATTGTAAGTTAAAAAAAAATTAATATAATATAACACAAGTAAGTTGCACAAATAAAAAGTGTCATAATAAATATATAATAATATATATATTCTTATAAAAGGTATTTAAATTTTCAAACTACTTTTTCTCATTAATTTTAGATTTTAAGAAAAAAAAATTAGCAAGCACCCGTGTAATACACGGGTGTTGTACTAGTAAAAGTACAATATCGTTAAATAAATTGTACGATATCGTATGAAGATATGCACATTACATAATTTTGTCATATTTATACATTATACAATATTATAGAATTGTCGAAGACTAGCCAATTTAAAATTTACAAAGTAAGGTCATAAAATTTTACTTGTGGCCATGCACATTAATAAATTCGTCATATTGTCACGAAATTAATGAAATGTACCGCACGCGCATTTAAAAGTTCACGAATTTACCAATATGTGCCGCGCTTAAAG